TCGCTTTTAATTAGATATTACGAGTTAGATGTTTATCTTTGTACTTAATTATAGCTCAGACTAGTTCGTTCCGTTTGTTTGTTTTAAAAGGCTTTACTTTTTTCTTCGTGGATTTCTAGTTCTTGTAAATATAATGGCTTTACATACCTAACATCATTTAGTTGCGAATTTATCCAGACATTATAGAACAAAAATGTTAATTTAACATTGTTTCTTTAAAATACGAATAAACAGTAGTCCAAAAATATCTAAATTCAATGTAACAAATAAATCAACCCAATATTTCAACATAACAATGCGCCTGCGCAGGGTGTTGTCGCGCACGCGCAGCGCGGCCTGTCACGAAGTTGAGCGGTGTCAGACATATCGGGTTTCCGACCATCTACGGTAGTGCCAGACTTACGAACCTGCCAAGTATTTGTACTTACTTATCAGAATTTGTATTTTATTAAAGATATTTTAATTGAGATTAATGAAGATAATTACTTTAAGGACTCGATTACAGCTATTTTCGATGGAGGATGTCAATCAAATGAGTTTGTGTGAACGGAAACTACATTATATGATGACCTAGAATCTTCAAAAACTTGAATGACATACCACGATCATTGAAGGCATAAACTTTACTTACAACAAGGGCCTTTTAAACAAAGACTGCATAAGATTTACTCATAATAATTACTGAAAATAAAAACATTATAAAATGAGACACTGTAAAGCTGCGCATATTTAAAAAAAAATCTCGTTTTCACCCCTGTGTACATGGGTAGCACACATTGCCGGTCGTCTAAAACTGCCAAAAGTTTTAGACCCTTTACACACATCGCTGGACACTAATTCGGTTCACTCGACTCGAAAAGGGCGTAACTTGGAAACATGTAAAAATAAAATTATGACGAGATAAGATGCGAGTGAAATCATTTTTATTTTTTTATGGTAGGTACCTAGTTTTTTTTGTTTGAGTTAGTATTTATAGTATTGTCTTTAAGGTTCTACTTATAAATAAAACGGAATAAGGTTTGTAATTTAGATTTTCAATCAGACTGGCCGTTTTTTTACTTACGTTCAAAAATGGAACACGAGCCTAAATTTAAAAACATTTTAAAAGAACACCAAATCCGAACGTGACCCTTGTAAAAATCGTTGACCTAATTCCATCAATCATAGAAAAAATATACTTTAAAAAACAAAAATTTAAATGTGCTCATAATTTAATTCTCCATCAAAACAGCTATCAAAACAGCCAATTAGCGAAACAAATTCTTTAATAGATACGATTTAGGGCCTATTTTCGAAAAAAACTAACAGCTGCGTCCATCGTACCGTAATAATGCAAAAGAACACACGATTAACAGGCCGATTCTTCAAATAATGACAACTGAACAAATATGTGAATAGTTTGAAAAAAAACAATCTTTTTAAAAACATACAGATTTTTTGGTTAGACACGTGCTGTCTTTTTAAATTTACTTTTTAAAGAAAATTTTTGAATTCCTCCGAAAATGCGTCTAAAAGAAAATTTGCTGAATAAATTAATAATACGTTATCTTTATAAAAATTGCTTATTTTGTTCTACAAATTCTACGCATTAAATAAACCTGAATATAAGAATACCTCGTTTAGAGCTCATTGAGGTATCTAAGTATATAATATCTTTGTGAATATATTTAGGCTTTAGAAAAACCGCTCGTGCGACACAAAACACTTCAAAGGAATCGCTGTTTTAGTCTTGTGATATACATATTAAATTTTTATGTAAACGTTGAGCGAGCTTGTCTCATGCAAACTTCAGTAAAATTTTGAAAATTAACTGTCGTTCTTGATATGAGATTCTATTACAATTCAATGTCTACCTCTATTGACCTATCACATCCTGGCCACTTCAAATAAAATGCACGCAGCACAAATAGAAAAAATCCTTTTAAATTCTAATCGGAACGTACGCTCTTTAATCTACCAGTGTACCCATCTGATTGGCCGTACGGCTGTCACGAACAGAATTCGCGTTTAAATGCACCGCTCCTATTGGTTAGGTCGATGCTCGAAATTCAAAATGTTTGTCGTTATTATAGTGCTGGTTTTTATTTAGTCTTATTGGTGTATTTGAATTTAGTAATTGGTTTCTAAACTTGTAACGGATGAGTGTGAGAACAATTTCTAATTTGACATTTTAAAGTATTAAGAACTGGTTTTATCAGTGTTCCTAAGAAAGAGCGCGGAACGATTTAAGACGAAACTGTCACGTTCTGATAAAATGAATGACATACGTTATTATTTTACAAACTGCTTTAATTATAATATATATTTTATTATAATGTATCTCATTGGTTCGTAGTTTGATCTTAATTAATGAAACAAATCTTTTTAAGAAAACTGCATCGATAAATTTCCAAACATCGTTACGAGAACGCTAGACCAAGAAAATTTTTAAGTCGTTTTAAAATTATTATTTGTGTAATATATGCGGATACACTAAACAGCCTAATTGAAAAAAAATCTTATTAGGATAGACAAAAATTCCAAAGTAATGGAAAAAGCCAATAAGACTTTCCTATTTTTGAGAGGCAAATTCTTCTAGCGACTTCTCCCGCTCTGAGTGGGACGAGAGATAGTATCAGACTCTCACTGACTAAAAACCAGCCCGTTCCTTCTCATGCTCCTAGATTGGCTGAATAAGACAATTCTTAGAACAAACCTGTATAAAGATTCCACATTGAAACTAAAGTTCTTAACAAAATTAATATTAAATCTAATAAAAAAAACACAGTCACAAATAAATCAACTATCTACTTTCAGCTTTTAAAGGTCGCCTGCCAGACATGACACTGCATTGTTCTCCAATACGAAACAAAGCGAAAACCGTTTTTCAATATGGCTACCTATAAACCTTCATACATAAGCTGCTGTATGTATGTATGTCTATAACGCTGGATAGACGCATTATCTTCCATTAGCGGTACAAGGGATTAAATCTGACGTACAGCTTTACTGAATATAGTTACCTACTCACTTATATTTTTAAGTTTTAGTTTGTGGGTAGTTGAAGTTTTTTTGGCCTTATTTGATCGGTAGGCAATCTGATTGGATTTTCTTTTTGAAATCGGAATATGAATTTGAATTTAGAATCTGATTAAATAAATAATGTAGAAAATGTTTTTAAATTAAAAAATAGGAATGAATTAAAATAATTATGTTTCAAGTAATCACGGTGTTCGTTCCGATTTCTTCCAACGAAATACCTCAACATTTCCACATCGACCGTACCTACCCTCTGTTCTTCACAAAGCCATTCATCTTTCCATTCCAAATTTCGATTACGAACAAAATACCTAGCTGCGAAGAACAGCCGTACATTGTAATCGCGAACGCCGACCGATTTCCCGACCGTAGGGAAAAATACATTTCCCCGTTGCCAATGGCAACAAGGAAACAGATATTATACTTGGGGACGCCCCAGCCGACAACATAACTACAAGTAGTAGATAGGTAGGTAGGTACCCCGTGCTAAAATGGGCATACATAGAATTTTATACTTGTGTGAGTTAGGTTTTTACGCATGCGTAGTTTTCGGTGAAAGTAGATAGATATTGGGGTTTTTAGGCCCTGCGGGGTGCGGTGCGGTCAGAGGGGGAAGGATGCCCTAATCTGTGTCCCTTTGAGGCTCCCGATTGGAATTTAGTAATCATATTAGATTTTAAATTACACGTGTTAGCAAGTTAAAAGGGTGGGGTTCGTAGCGCAATTTATTTCCTATTAAATAGTTGTTTGGGAGCCGGGATGAGTGTGTACAATGTTATGTATAAATACGTTATTATTAACGGGTGCTTATGAGTTTGACTCCCTGGAATCGGTTTAAAAATAGTTCGAACATGAGCTCAGTTTGGTGTCATGTAATTATTTAATTGTAATATAATTCAACTCAAGCTATAAATATCAACTAACATTATGTGTAGCATGTTTACATGTATGTTTTAAAGTTAATTCTAAAATATTGCTATGATAATTTTTAGATAACAAATTATCTATTTGTATTTAGAACGAAACGTAGCATTTATTATTTTATAGCAAAATACGATCGGGTTAAGTTATCGGGTTTCAAGTCTCTTGAGCAAATACTGGGTTAATATTAGCACATCTTAACCTATGCCCGTCTCTAAAATTCCATAAAGTTAGGTTCCTATACTAGGCACACACATATCTCTAGGTAACAGAGTTAGAAATTCACACATTCACAACTTTTGTGTCAAAGAAAGTTTCGAGCTGGAACTACGGCACACAGATGTATTCACGAACGATTCAACCTGGTACAAAGTCAGTCACTTCTATGAATTTGTGAAGAAATATTTAAGGCTACCTTCATCCAAGTAGCTTGTAAACCTTCCTTAAAAATCGGACTCTAAGATATTCTTGTATTTGTAAACAACGACAATGTAGAAAATCTTAATGAAATAAACCAATTTCATTTTAGTTTTCACGATAAAAATGGCTTTACATTTGTTTGAATATTAACATAGCTAGCAGATAAGTACTTATAGTATTTGTAAGATTATTCAAGTCTAACTCTATACCGCCATCTTGTTTTACCAACCACATGTGCCTCCCACATTAAAACCCTCAATGTTCTTCTAATTAGTTTATCTCTCTTACCAATCAGATCGTTTCTCACGGTCCGACCTTCAATTTCTACAAGGCTCCTTGCAAATAGGCAGGCTGGTGTTAGCTTTTGTTTATCAAATCAAATAGATCACATGTTTTAACTTACAAAAGGTCATAAAACTCTGAAAAACTAAAGCCAACTTTAACCCTACCATCAGGATTCGGTTTAGTTTCTATCTTGCAAAATCAGCATTGTCATCGTCATTGACGTAGAAAAGAATATAGAGGCACAATTCAACTCAAACCACTTTCTGTTATCATCATAAGCTGAATCGCCATCACTTTAGCCATAATATGCCCACATAAATTCCCATACGAAGTGCTGATCACAATTATACCCACAGGTATCTTCAATCAACCGCGTGCTAAGGAACTTAGCGTCGCAGAAGGAGCAAGCGGCGTCGGCGCAGAATGATAGTGTTTATGAAAAACTGAGGATGTTCAATGGGCAGGCGGCCACGGGCTGGTGGTACCCTGGACTGCCGGCTGCACCAGCTGCACCTGCGATCCCTGCACCATTGCCACCGCAGCTCAATAGGACACCTACTGAAGAACATAAAAGAGGTTTGTGACATTTTGGGGTATTTTTTCAAATTGCTTTCTAAATTGGTTCTTATTTCTGGAGGATAAAGGTACACAATTGCTAGTGTTCGAGTTTTTTTGGTCAAAATCATGTCATTCGATTGTTTCCAAAAATCCAATAGCCCATATTATGTAATTTCTGAATGCCTGCCAGCAAATGTGTTTCAAACATTTTTCCATTAGCAAATCGTATTACAACGAGTCAGCTTCCATGAACTCGATTTGTTTAATCTCGATACGAACTAAACTAGTCTAGCTATCAATTGACAAAAAATAACGATTCATTTTAAAGGACCTTTAAAATACCAAAACTGGAAATTCGAAAATATAAATAACGGTTTCAGCTTGAAACGGCACTGTAACATAGCTCTCCTCTAGTCGAGCGGAACATGTATCGACCGGCGCCACTCTATCTATCGATATATCGATATGATGTGACGTGGCACGACACTGCTAGATGTTCTTTTCCTATTTCGCTTTGACGCCGTGTCGCGACTCATGCCTTTGGGACGACAGAGGCAAGTGTAGGGCTGACACTTGAGGCCACAGGTAGGTCAGTGGAATTAGGTTTTGTGAGTAGTAACACATTATAATGTAAAGCCACTAAATTGTGAAGCACATCAAAACTATTAAAATATATTTCGGTGTCAAACACGATACACCTAGTATAATGATTATCTAAATGCAGCCGACTATGGTAACAAAGATTTAACGCTTAAAAACCTTTCACAATCATATTTACTAACAATACTTAACGAAAACAATATAAGAAAAAAATAAAATGGATGGCGAAGGAACAAATGAAATACGTACGTTTTACAAAGGCGCTACAGCGTGATTAAAAACAAACCATATTTACAGGGGGAAACAATACTTTTTCCAGTTTTCATATTGTTTGGGGCAGCCCTACAACCCGCTTTTCTTAGGGTGAGGGGGGAGGTTGGGTCGTTGTTACTCTGTTTCTTTCCAAACACCTTGCCAGTGGGTTGCGGCCCACCAGATTATATGCCTCTTTTGTGTTTTATTTCTACTTATGTACTCCCTATGTGTACAAAAGTGTGAATGTATTAGTGTAATCTCATTTGTGGCTGCGTGCAAGGTTCATGTTTCCTCGCTGATGGTAAGCTGGGCTTCGGATTTTGTAGGCGAGTTACTGGATTATTTTTCGGGTTTATTTTTTAATACATAACTTTAAATAAGTATTGTCTATAAGCTGAAGTTGTCCTAAAAAAGTCTGAGCCGCCTACAAAGTTTATTGAACAAAAAAAGCCTACTCAAAGGTCATAAACAAATTCGCAAAGGCTCATAAAGTTTTAGTCGGCTTACTCATTCCTCCCTAATTTTCGTATAAAACTACAACTACCCACAAACTGTGTTCAGCCATCTCGTGGGACGGATGCTAATAAAGCCAGTCGAGTGAGAGATCTCCTTTCAAAAATGACCTCAAGGTCACAGGTCAGCTGTGCGGATTAACCCCTTGACTCCACACTCCTTCAAAGAGATGCCGTACTCCTGATCTTCGAACGTTAAGCGGGAAAATTAGAAGGTTTACTTAGAAGCGATTCTGTGTGGATGAATGTTAAAGAAATGTTTAAGAGTTTTGAGGAATATAAGAGAGATAAAACAGGAGGAGGAGTGTTTGTTTAAATCGAATGTTATTTATTCCGAAAAAAACATTTTCTTGAGGATGGATATTTTGTTATTTTTACCTTTACATCAAATCGCTTTGTTATAGTCGAAGAGTTTTCAAGCGATTTACGTATTATATGGGATATGTAATGTGAATTGTAATCGTCACTTGATAATAATGACATTGAATTCAAAAAAATAATCATATAATAAATAAAAACTTCAACCATTTCCCTGCTTCATATCATCTAACTAAACCTTCTGTTCTATCCCTGTTTAGTAGGACAAAGTTTTCATCGTACTTTTCACATGTGCGCGTTGTTTAGCCCCAGCGTACGTGATCTGAATCCGAGCACCAAACTGGCGACAACAGACTTGCCTTGAGTATGTGACACCGAATACTTTTTTCCCTCATTTTCCTTGCAAGGACCTTATCCTCCCTTTTCCTTTGGCATCCCAGCAATTCGCAATCTTTTCATTTAGTTATAAGTTTTTTCAATAGGCAGGTAGGCAGTTTTCTCTCTTGTATAAGTTCATAGGAAATTTTCTCGACATCCTTTTTAATAGTTTGTTCAAAAGAGACTTTGCTTTAAACCGAAACCTAGTCGTAATAAAGCAATTAATTAATAGAATCGAAAAAAATTAAATGACATTTTAATGACAGTAATAAAATCACGGACAAAGGCCAGACATCGCTGGCAACACTACAAAATGGCGAATGCTTTTTACACTTCAAATATTACTGTGTTGTGTATATTTGTGGAGGGCGGGCACCGGCTTAATTAACTCTGGCAACGGCATTCAGTTTTATAAATTCGATTTCGAAAGGTGGCTTGCTGAGGTCAAGTTTGGCATATAGAAAAAATGCAATATTGAACCTATAATGCCTTCGAATTATACAATTAACTTCACTGTTTACAGTCGCGAGATTGACCACAAAGCGATTCAAATAATGTACCAGCCCAAATGGGCCTTGATTATTGTATGCCCTAACGGGCTGATTGTTGTACTGTATACCACTATAAATATGTATAACACCTGTAACCAACACAATCAACACAATAAAGATTTTTATACTTTACTTTGTTATTATCTTAACAAAAAAGCATTTAGGACTAAAATAGACGTCATAAAAGTTATTTTAAGACAAGTCGACAATTAATTGGGGCCATGGTCTGAAGCAGGAGAAGGAACGGAAGGGTTTTTAGTCAGTAAGAGTCTGATACTCCCTCTCCCCTTACCCTAGGCTCAGAAGTCATTTAAAGATTATCCGTCCTCAAAAAAGGAAAAGTCAAGAAAACATTTTCACCTAAAATTGTTTGACGACCATAGATATAAAATGATGCATCCATCATTGGTTTTAAACCAATATTTGTATCTGCTATATAAATAACACGACATGAGAAAGCAAAAAAAGAAACCTGAATTTTAATATTGCTTTTCGGATACATATTTACCTACGTTCATAGAGAAAGTCGAGACCCGAAAAAAGGCTGCAATATATACCTTCGGTACATAGTAACTAGATATATATGTATATATGTTCCCGAATATATTTTAACGGCATATGTAAAGTACGGACCGGACCAATAGCGCCCGTACAAATATACGAAGGGGCAGTTTTTATTGCCCACGGCCCGTTGACCACAGCACAAATATGTTTTCACCAAAATTACGATTCCCTTTATCGTTTCATGAAATATAATTATTATTTTAGTTTGAAGATTTTATGGTTCACAGGCTATGACAATACTTTCCTTATATTATTTTTATGAGAGTTTATTATCAGGTACGGTTGTGATCCAATAGACCATCACAGATGGGGCCCTAAAGGGTTGATTTTCAGCCCTCTGGCCCCACCTTGGGCGGGAGATGAGATGATTTTCCCATCACAAAAATAATTTTATTGTGATAAATGGCTAGCTAGCTTCATGTGGATCTTTAATTCATCAAACCCTAAGTGAACGCCGGCTTTCGCGCACTTTCTTCTTCTGCGTCTCGAATAACCACGATTGAAAGGATAATGTACTAAGATACTTCAGCCATAAGACTTGAAGTCCTGTAGCAGCAACGATCCGCAATACATGTCGACTATTTCATATCGGCCCACAACGCATTTTTAATATTCGACGCACTGTTTTGCTCACGGTTCGGTAGCATCGCCCAATGTTTCGGAAGTATACAAAATGGAAAAAAATATAAAACGCCCGATGTATTTTCGCACAAAAAGCTCTCTCGCGAGTGTGATTGACGCTCGTTGTAACAGACTTACTTCTATGTGTGGGTACGCAACGTGTTTTGATGTGTTACGCGTTCTTTTTTTTTTTAATTTTGTAGCTATTGCGTTCTGCTGTAGGCTTTTTCCCGTTGATTTGGGAGAAATAGTGTGCGCAAACTAACGTATTTTCTAACTTACATAAATAAAAAGCCACATAAAAACCTCCTTCAATTTTGACCTAATAAAAATATGTATACAAAATTCAAAAACAAAAACCCGAAACCACCAATTAAGTTCTAAAAGCAGTAACAAAACAAACATCAGACGTCTATGTGTGTCTAATTCAACGAACCACATAAAATTGTCCAATATTTGCCCAGTGGAACATGGCACAAATAATTGTACAAATTGTTTGTGTGTCGCTCTCTGATATACGTGTACACAATAGAATTAGCACTGTGGTGCGGTACACAAACATGCTGGCCACAATGGTTGGCGCTAATCAATCGCTAATATACTTGACGATCTTGGAGCGATCATTGATTTGGGAGTACGGTTACAATAGTGATTAGATTAATACGTGAGATGCTTGTAGTAATTGCCAATGTTGCTTATACTGTGGCCATTCAGATTTAGACAAGGTTTCTTTACCAAACACAGCATTTGAAACTTGTTTAGTCTCTTAATTCCTTCAAGTAAATTAAACAACGTATCTGTTCGTAAAAATTACTAACTTTTTATAAAGTATTTCTTTGAGCAGTGGTCATTCTCGGTCTGAACTTAGAAAAAAAATAAACTCATAAATAATTTTTAATACAAAATTCGAATTTAGGTATATTCACCTTTAAGATTACAGAGCAAAAAGCTACCTAACAAATGACCAAAACGATTAGTCCTCGCGTTTACAATGGGCCAAGTTTTTCGCAACCAAAAAACCGTCCAGGAAATATCAGTTTCGATAAAATTTGAACAATTTCTAAAACGTACACAACGGATCCAGTTAGGTATGAACCGGGAACAAATATTTGCTAGCGGTGAACCAGTGACGCGGCGCGGCCACTGGCAAATCATTCGTGTTTATACTTGTTATACACGCAGTTTTACTTCATTCAATTTGTTTTGTATGGAATTCTAAATTGTTATACCTATACTAAAAATTGTTTAGGTTATAAGACGATCCTCCAACCTCCCCTTGAAGTACTTATAGTCATTTTTTTCAAAAACTCGGTCTTCCAAAATTAAGGTTCATCGATACATAATTAATTATGTACTTACCTAACAAGAAATGTTCAATCACTACATAGGTAGTACAAAACATAGTCTCTTTCTCTGTCCCTTTATCCCTATGTATGCTTAATTCTTTAAAACTACGCAACTGATTTTGATTCGGTCCTTATAATAGACAGAGAGAGAATAGGAAGATTTGAATTTATATTAACATCTATTAAGCAGTGGATAAATTTATTATCAGCATTATACCGGTGCGAAGATGGGACCGGTCGCTAGTAAAACTATAAACTTTCTAACAACCTAGGTTTTCAGCTATAATTTTATAAAAATGCCAGAAAAAAAGTACCAGGTGTCACCACTAGGGTAATAAAACAAAAACTATCAATATCGAACGATTCGTTTCAAGTTGAGCGCTCTTCAAGCAGTTAGTATAAAACAATGCCTTTTTTATTTCGTTCCCAAAGTGGTTTCGTATCAAGTACAGTTGTGTAATTGACTTTAACATGTAAAGTGTGCTCGGTACTCGGCAACACGTGTTAGAGATTGTATTACATTGCAATTATACGTTTATATCGTGTATCGCTCCTTCAATAATAAGCGATAAATTGTAATTGATCGTTTTGGTAATTTAAAAGGGATTTTGTGCTGGGTCGATTTGATTTTGAGCACTGTGCGGTGTTTTCTGTAACAATGACTGTTTTTTGTTTACCTCTAATGCAAATTTATAAGTGAACTTTTTTTGAATAGTAGTTGTCGAGAAACATACTTAATTTCAACGTCGTCGTGACGCGCACTCTGCTCATGAGTAGGTAAGAGTCCCGTTCCTTGCTTGAAACTCCTTACTTGAAATTAGTAGAGCTTTTCTCAATTAATTCACTTAAGTCATTATTTTCAATAAACAAATGTATAAACGTCATGTATTTTAGCAGAAGAAAAAGAAGTATAATTAAACGAAGTCGTTAATAAAACCTGCTAAAATTAAACACAACTATCTACCTAATACGTCTGAACAAAAGAAATACTGACAGGACACTAAACTTTATCTATTCTTACGTCCCTAATGAAAATTACCCCAATTGTTCTCATTTGTAGCAACAATAATAAAAACTGGACCTTATCAGCCCCACGCTAAGTAATCCAGATGGTCACATTGAGGACATTTAGTGACTGCTTCAGAACAAAACAAGCAAATCTATCTTGACCCCAGCTCTCCCCAGACGCTTCTGTAACGTATGAGTTAATCGGTTCACTTGTCCTCATAAAGGGGTCAAACTTAATTGGTTATGATGCGACCCCATTCGGGCGTGGATGTTTAAGTATTTGGGATTAATGTAGCGATTTATTTAGATTAATGTCTTATTATTTAGGGCCTGGAAAAAAAATTGAGAAATTTTTAGGTCGATTGGTGCTTCAATGTTCAAGATGGGAGATACTGAGTTATCAAACCTCTTAAGGTACTCAGGAGTGTTGTAACAAGTCATTATGTATATTTTCACGTGGCAAAGTAGAAAGAAATGTATCGAAGAGAACATTTATTCGCGGAAGCGTGGCGAATTAGGCGGATCGCGCCTTGTCCAGCCGCAGACAGCTTGTTCTTGAGGACAGGTACCAAGATATAAGAGACAGCGATTTGCTTTTATTTATATAGTTTTTTAAACAGTTCTTGACTATTATTTTTAATATTCTGGACTGGTTACCATTAAACAGCTTAGCAAAAGATACCTATAGTCATAACAGTTTTGGATTAGGTAATATTTTTTTATTTCACCTAAACTCACTGTTATGCCGTTTAGGAAACGGTTAAGATTAAGAAATATTGCTGTACTATTTGGCTTTGATTGCCTTTAAGCAGTGACATGGATGAATACAAAAATAAATATTGTTATTAATGTGTAAAAACCTCTGTCCGCTCATGGTGTGGCCAGCGTGGTTGAGTGACAGTATCGATCTCACATAATCGCGCGCCGGCAATCGGCCCCCCACCTACGACCGTCGTGTTTCACCCCGATAACTCCAATTCCGCTTTATCTCCCCGACTGCCGACTTTCTTCACTCCCCTTTGTGCTTATTTTCTCAAATTTTTTCCACCGCCCCCACTCTTTATTTCGTTCCTTTTCTTATTTTCTTACTACTATTATTTTCTCTTATGTATTTTTCGTGTTTCATCCCGCCCTTGGAGGCCTTTCTCTCCGGTGGAGGAAGTTTTTTCTTCGATCATTTGTAGGTCGTTATTGGTGGAATTGTGGTTAAGTACCGACGTCTACCGAATTGATTTTTTTAATGAATACCTACGCTCTCTTTATGTTCGTCGGGAATCGGTAATAAATAATGAAAATGCTGATTGTTAGGATGGAAATAATATTCTTAGATAACAAAGGAATGATTACAATCCATTTAATAGTAATTTGGAGGTTAATTAAAAAGTTTGTAACTATGTAGTTTTTAGTATTTTGTTTGGCAGATTTTTTGTCATTGAAATTGGAATTTTTTTTCCATAATTTGAAGCATCTCGATTACCTAAAATAAGCAACAAAATAAAACAAATCGTTCGTTTGTAAACACAAGCTCATTAGAGGTGTAGTTGTGCTAAGGGCGCGCACACACTGGCGACGGCGACGCGCGATCAATCAAAATTGTCAACCGATTGGAAAGCTCACCACGTTTCGCTGAGCGAATGTCGCACATCAATCATGTTTCAAGTGTAACGTTTACACCGAGTGTGTTACAATTTTGTCGTTTTTTGTAGTACCTTTGTGCCTGGTTGAATTTAGTTTGGATAAAAATAAATGCAATAGTTTTAGGTTTGCATGCAAGTCCTATTCTCTCGTTTTTTTTCCATAATAAGTTGTTTTGTTCTCCTGCATCACCAGAGCTATTATTATGATTAGTATTAGGAATGATTACATCCATAAAGTTATGTGGACATACGAAATGATTATTTATTTTATCGTGGGCGTATTTTTTCTGTCACTGTTAGCTTCCATTACGTATATTGGCTACACGCCCGAACAACATCGGTGTATCATCAGAAAATGTGACAGATTGCGTAACAGTACGTCTATTGAACGGAATCACTAACCCGTGCGCACATTACCGATCCGAGAATCGAACCCCAGACTCAAGTGCTCCGACCATAAAGCAAATTAATCAATTAGCTGGAGGCATGTCGACAACATTACGAGTAACGTTTAATTTCGCTATCACCCTCACTTTGAGGGTAGTAAACAACCAGGGTGAGTTGGTCCCTGTTGTCGAGCAAATTGTTGGTAATGAAGGGTCATGATGACTGGTTTTTATGTAATTTTTCTGAGGGGGTAATTTTGTGCAATACTGCTGACGCATTTGCTTGATAGTCGTCGAGTGCGACGTTTTGTTCGAGTGCTTTGTTGATAGTTTATGATGAAGAGCAACTTCTCTTTGTATGTTCAACATTTCGTTGATGACTCTTGCTTTAGGACTTCAGAGGTCAATTTTGATCCCTGATGAGGTAGAATTCGGTACAGCTAATTCAAAAGAACTCATTCATCTATTTTTTGATTGGCTTACAACAATATCGATGCATATTTTCTTTTTTAATTTGTTAAATGTATATTAACCAAATTATTTCCTCCAGCAGATCCATTGCAATCGGAGGCTGGGTCAGACGGCAATAGCGAACATGCATCATCGGGAGACGAAGACTCGCAGATGAGATTACGACTGAAGAGAAAGCTTCAAAGAAACCGGACCTCCTTCACCAATGATCAGATAGATAGCCTTGAGAAAGGTAAGACCAGACTACCTAAAAAGGTAACAGAAGTACTTTTTCACCAGCCATTTCTTCCAGAGCTGTAAATTCGTCGTAAATTACCTTCGAAAACATTAGTTCAATAACCTTGCTTTTAGTGTCTTTCACTTACATATATCACTATTGAGGAGGTTATCGCATATTTTTCATAAATGCCATCTTATTACAATTCATCAAAACCCAAACGAACTCCGGCGTTCGCGCCATTATTGTTCTTCTATTGTATCTCGAATTACCACGACTGAAAGGCTATTTAAAAGGACTTTTATTATTTCTAAGTATGTCTTCGAGTATTTTCTCTTCATCTCCTGTCAAAAATTGACTCCCATCCTTCGTCAGAATGTTAGCAAACATCCCTTCACCAGTCGATAAGTCCCGGGAGTCTTCATAAACCTATTTCCCAATGTCCTTTTCATCTTATTTATTGTTTGCAATAACACGGTTATTAGTAAGTAAATAAATATGGTCCCCCGATGTTTGCTCTGCTCTCGGACGGTGGCAGTGGGCCCAATTATTGATGTCGCCCTGTGTTAATCTTACTTATTCGCTGTTTGTTTGTTTGTTTGTCTCATATCGTATTGGTTTATTGCCTTAGTGATTGAGAGGTATTTGTTGGGAGTTGTACTTTAGTTTTTTTTTTAATTTTGATGCTTTTACTCTTTTCTAAATACTCCTTACTGATTACCTAGTATATGTTTTATGACTAAGGCTTTATATTTCGTTGAGATTATTTCAATCAAAATTATCTCCTTTTAAATTACTTTAATTTTAACAATGTTTGAGTGATTTAATAAAGAAAATATTATCCTACTTTTTCTATCTTCATTCCTCTTCTAACGCGTTTTATTTTTTCAACAGAATTCGAACGGACGCACTACCCGGATGTGTTCGCGCGGGAAAGACTGGCTGAAAAGATTGGATTGCCTGAGGCACGTATCCAGGTAAAATAAAATCCAGTTTACACCGCGGTAAGGTGGCTGTATCGATACGTCATCGTTAACCAGTATCTTTGAATTATTCACTAACCTAACGTTCTTTAAAACCAAAAAGCGGTGTTTCTGTGTATTGAGTTACTGGAGTTGATATTAAAATCAGTGTCTCTTATTATCTAAGTAACGTTATAACAAAGAAAATTACAAAAAACATGGTTAACTTTAAAAAAAATGGGTGGAAAAACATCAAAAAATTTACAACACAGCTTGTAGGACTCTTACAACCAACCCAATAAAACAATTAGATCTAAATACTAAAAACGGATTTGAATGAAATCTCGCTAAAATCGTACAAGAGCTTTATTAGGGATGCGTTCATAAGGGCTTGTTTACACTGTATGTTTGTGTAGCTACCCTGTATGTAGATGCGTCTTCAGTAAACATACTAAAAAAACAAGGGTGAGTAATATTATAGCGAAAGCATATACTTATTACATAGCAAAAGTAAATATTTTGGGAAAACTACGCTGTTAATATATTCAACAATGTTTTTATTGTTTGAATTTTTCAACGGACAATGTTTGTTCTTACCCGTACTGTTTGCTTATCATTAATTTGGAGTAATTAACAAGAGTAATATTACGTTAGTTGAAAATGTACTTACGTATGGGTAGAATGTCTGTACTTATGTAATATTTTGGTAATGTATTCCATTTCCGAGGTAGGGCAAATATTATTATTTCGGTTAACCCGTTGACGTGGAAAAAGATGAGATAAATTAACTATCGTTTTGTTCTTTTGTTGGTTGCCGTGGAATGTAATAATAATAACATACGTCTCTGTAGTAGTAGTAGTAGTAGGTTTGAAAAAGGGATATTAAATTGTACAATATATTAAAATATCACCCCTTGGAACAATGTGGGGTAAATAACGTTCTATTCCACTTAACGCGACGCACTTAGTGTTGCCAACAGTTTAAAAAGTGGTTTATCAAAGTGTACAAACTTGGCGCAAGTTTTATAATGGTCTAATGTGATTTTGACTGCAAACCTTTTAAGTTTGCAACCTCTTTATTGTAATACTGGAACATTATCGAATTAAAAAAGAGTGGCTCTTTTTTTTAAGTGGAATTTGTTCACATTTCATTTGTTTTCATTAAAATTTTGCTTTTATAAAAATATGATGTAAGAGAGAAGATAGCGATGGTATTGAAGTTTTTAACCAAGGGATGGTTTGGAAATTGATATGACGCTTTAAGTTAAAGAATGAACTGCAACTAAATTAATCACATCAAAACAAAACAGTTTGGTTAAAATTTATACGTACCCATCCCTCAAATTAACATTTATGTGGTAACTTTAACCTCCCAAAACAATATAAAAAAGCGTCAAAATAAAAGTAACTACCACAAAAAAGGAATATTAATTCAAAAGCAGACACAAAAACTAAAACTTGAGTGAAACATGAAAAGTAGGAAAGTTCCGACGCCGGAGTTTTCTTGTTCTCTGTGCGAAAAAAGAAAAAAAAACAAGATGGCGGGCGACCGACATTGTTTTCAGCGGGAGTTTGGAGTCGGGCTAAGCTGTTACATTAACCTCTCGTCTCGGCCTTAGTTAACATTCCGAACCGCTGTCATACATATAGCACGGTCAACAAGTATTTTACTGGATTGTTTGCAAATGATATTTATAATTCACTTATACTTAAACTCGACGTTTCGTTTCCGTTACGTTTAAAAAAAAGAACGCTGTCAAAAATGTACTTATGATATAGGTATTATAATATTTATGGAACACACCCATGATTTTTTCATTCTGCAAAGAAGCTCAGATTCTGATTTTGAAAGTAATTTACACTTTAAGCCATTTTTTTAATAAGACTCGGTTTATTGCTTCCTAGACTATATGTGATATGGTATGACAATGGGGAAACATTGTCATGTCACACGAACGTCAAATAAGTACAAAATGGGGGCAATATCAAACGCAAACAAAGCCTGTGGGGCTATCAGTGCTCACAAAGCCTCATTGAACTCTAAAATAGCGGTATAAAGTTTAATTTTCCTTGTAAAGTCCAGGAGCTAGGTTTTCAAGGAGTAGCGTGAACACGATTTGGAATTCCGTAGGACCACGTGTTGCAGGGTTCAAGGCTGAGTCAAATGGTTCATTGAGTGTCTAAGTATATTAATTTTGATAACTTTCTATTGATAAAAATATCAATAATAATAGCTTTATACAATCATTAGGGTTGTAGGTAAATAATTCTTTGAAGCTACACTTAGACAAAAGCCTTAGCTAAATCGTTATAGAAAAATGAACGGTCATGACAGAATAATACAAAACTGGTGCTTATACTTAGTAAACTTTTTTAACGTGACATTGAAAAACAATCAGTTCACTGACCTCACAAAAATGGGTATATATTTTCTACAAATTAGCTACAGTTCAATTATTACAATAAATTTTTAATGTTTAGACAAGAATATATGATGGGAATTATCCCGAGTATTTTCCACGTGGCCACAGTTACAATAGCCTGCCGGGTGAGGTATCGATCCCGGGGCCTACAGGAAGCGGGGGTGCGTTTCCGGCCGCGGGAGGGGGCGGTGTTTTGAAAAATTGGCACCCATTCCCGCACACAAACATTTTTACTATTAAAACAAGGCAAACTCAATTCTATCTTCTCAGCAATAAGGTGTTGTTAGGAATAACAGATGTCAATCTTGAGTAAGTATAGAGATTATTTGGTGTTAGAAATGTTCTGATTTTTATTGTTTTTTACTGTTTGATTGAAGACCCTTTCGTAGGTTGGTATAAAAGTATTTATATATAAAAAAACTTCAATAAAACATTTTAGCTGGCTCCCAAACTAATTCGTGTCAGATCGCGTTGTGATAACATTTGTTGAACTAATTAATTAGCACTTCAAAATCACATTATGTAGCATGGGATAACAGTTCCAGTGACAAATGAAAACAACACATAATCATGACATTTCAATAACAAATCCTATAACGCCGAGCTTTCACAATAGGTAGGTACCTACAACTACTAATTAACTAACTTCACTAAAATTACCAAAACAACAAGCTTCATAATTAAAACAGCAACAACACGAGAACTAATAAATTAAAATACATCATACTGTATTAATAAGAGCGCAATTCATAAGCAAAAACAATTACGGGCCGCAACTCGTTGGTTGTGTAACCAAATTATGGGAAATCCCATTTGGTAAGGAACCCTCGGTAACTTTATTTTCATCCCAACTATGAGGGTACGAGAACAATTTGTAAAAGGCCACGGGAAATAGCTGAAAGGCGGGAAAAAGGCCTGTCATCGCTGTCATGGCGGAATATCTATAGATGGCGGGAAAAAATGAGGCGCGTCTTTATATTTTATCGTGACGTAAGGCAAGGGGCACACATACAAGCTTAGTTTATTGGATTCGACTTAAGTTTAAAACAAAACCTTATCGTCTCTTGAAATATTTCTTAAATTACACACATTATAATATTAGTAAAAATTACAGCAAAATAAATAAACATTTTTATTCATTTCGCCCGTAATTTTTACAAAGTTAGGTGCTTAAACATTAAAGTTTATTAAATCCAATGTGGCTTTATAAAAATGAATTCTACGTTGCATTAATAATACCATCATTATATAATTTGCGTGCCGATTACACTCATTATGTGCTGAGTAAAACTGTAATTATGCATGAACATGTTCTGATGGTTAATTTGGTAAAATATTTTAGCTCAGTTAATTAAAACAGAGTTGATTAAAGTTTTATTTTTGAAATGAAAGAATTTAGTAGTATGTAACCAGACTTCCGCTCGTGTTTTAAAATTAGAATACTTAAACTTTTTCAATAATCATTGTATTGCTAGTGAAAAAATAATTAAGACACTTTTGAGTTTATCACAAGTTTATAAGTAGACAAAAAGAGTCCTGGCATAAAACTAAATCACAACAGTTACAACAATTTAAAGATTCGAACATCGAATTACTAATAGTAATAGAGAATATTTTGTAGGTCTTATGTATTATCACGTTCCGTGTACACTATGCTTTTTCGGACCCTCGGGTCGCAAACCCCAATAAAATATTGTCGGCAACATTCTGGCGATTCTGTCGGAGACCGGAGCAATAATATTATGACATATTGCCTCCACAAACTTATAGGTTTTTTCTTTCTTATAAATAACGTTCTTGTGTACATAGATACCGTACTCATATTTACTTAGTTTAGGATACGATGAAATATGTATTTGTCGATTTAAAGATGCCCAGTTGTATATACCCTCCATAAATTAAATCCTTTATAAAAGTTATTAGGCAGGTTTTTTGAATTTCGATTTTATACCAACGTCCTTTTTATGAGCTTACTCCTTTATGCGAAAATATAAATAAAATAGAACTTATCTGCAAGACGATATTTGGGAAAAATATGGTAAAGATATTATCTTGGGAAGTATTACCACTTTCTGCCTAGTTATAGCAACAAACTAGCGTAGTTATGTGCTGAACAATTACATAGGTGTTACACTTTGCACAATGGTGGCATGTCTGCCCGCCTTCACAAAGCGCGGGAAGGCTTCGGGCGCCATATTGTCGTCGCCATGGCTGCCGGCGGAAGTGGCGCGCACGTGAGGGCTACTTCCGGGGCCACGTTCCGTTTCACGCAGTTCAATGTCACAATATAGTGTCCACGCTCCGTTTGTTTTAATTGTTTAGATGTTCAGTTACATTTGAATTTTTGTTTTCGAGTTTTATTTGTACAGTTGAAGTGCTAGTTGATTGAGTTGTTTTTTTATCTATCAAATAAAAAGTACAGTTTATTAAGTTTAATAAATTGAGCCAATGGCATTAGAAGTAAACATTCCTTTCTTATCAAGTTTAGGAACCTTTACAAAATATCACCTTAAATAAGATCGACTCAAATATCATAGTCTAATTGTAGTTCTCCTTTAACAGGTATGGTTTTCCAATCGGCGAGCGAAGTGGCGTCGCGAAGAAAAGCTTCGGAGTCAAAGACGTGACGCTCCCGCCGCATCACCACCTGCACCTCCCACACCACGGCTACCGCTAAATGGAGGCTTCAACTCCATGTACAGCCCCATACCACAACCCATTGCGACAATGGGAGAGTCTTATAGGTAAGTCCATAGTAGATAACATATTTTATGAAAAGCATTATCTCAAATTAAAAAGAGAGAAAAGAATAGAACACTGCAATCCTCCTATTTTCTTTCGTAAAAATGTCAGTGATTTCTATTAATTAAACTTAAAATTTATTAGAAAACTATTAAGTTCTGTAGAAGCTAAGAACCCTACAAAGTAACCATCTTAAATAAAAATCATTAGATAAAACTTTAAAAGGTTTTAAAACTTACGGTAGGTATCGCCATCTATCATCGAGCGGTGACACTAATTAAATTGCGCGCGAAATCGAGCGGCAAAGGTCGCGCCTTCTTGCGTTTCCCGCCAATGCACCGAGACGCTACGAACGAAGGCTACCCGACTTTCCACATCGATTGATTTTTAATACCGAACTACGAGTTTTAGCTTTCGTCCCGAACTAATCATTCTTTTTTTATTATTTGGGAATATTTTTGCTTTCATGCTTTTTAATTCTGTTTGATTGATTTATCGGTTCGTTTTTGTTGTTTCTTCGCATTTTATCATCAAAAACACATTGCTCGTTTAAAAATGCAAAAGTAGCTGATGATTCAAGTATCAATATCAAAAAACTGAAAACATAAAAGATAAATAAACAATCTAGGTTCATTGCTTTCATTTTTCTTTTCTTTTTATTTATTTGCCTTCAATATTTTTCACTGTGTACGACATTGACAGTGCGCTTGGTTCCGACAGCGCGATGTCGGGCGGGTTGACTTCGTCGTGCCTGCAGCAGCGGGACGGCGGGTACCCCTACATGTTTGGCGACGTGCTGGGCAGCGGAGGCTACTCCAGAGCACCTGCAGCTCATCAACAGCACGCTGCGTATTCACAGCCACAGGGAACTGCGGGGACTGGTGAGTTATAGAGTTTTTTGTTAAATAATAATTTCCATCACATTTATGTCATACAACATGCATTTCAAGCGCCTGTTTCTTTGGGGCCAGCAAAAACATTGGAAAGCAAAATGGTGCATATCTACCATTTTTAGGGCCATTTATATAGGCGCTATGTACCATACCTACATACTTAACCATGATAAGTATTAACTCTATACATAAACAATAAACGTCTTCCAACACAATAACTTGTAATTCCTGTCAGCAACAAAATACGAAAATGCTACAAAATCCACGCAATCGGCACGAGAAAGCTTTGGAAAATATTTACCAACTTCGTAATAAAATGTAAAAAAAATGCTGAGTCAAGAGCAAGGGGCGTCTGGCCCACAAGACCGCGACATGATGGGGGAAACAAGAAAAAAAAGAAAAAGGAAAAATAGGTATTCATGCTCCGATTGGATTTGCTGTTGTCTGTTCCTTACAAATAGCTTTTAAATTGATTTTGTTCATAGATAGTGGCAGTGAAAATACATAGCACAAAATACACGCAGGTTTCTGAATTTGTAAACGTACCTACACATATCTTAAACAAAACATATCTAAATAGCAAGAGTGTAAATTTATTATTCAGAAAAAGACTAAGCCGTGAGGTGCTGGCAATGCTATTGTTTTAAAAAGCAGTAACTTTTCCATTTGATATTATATATCACGCGGCGGACATTTTTAGCCGTAGGTGGCGGAAAGCGGTATGAATTATTGTTGTTTGGGGCGTTTCGCGGCATTGTTCGTCTGCCGAGTTTCCAGCACCAACCGCGAACAAAAGAGTTTTTCACAATTCAAAATGCACGCTCTCGTTTCATTTACTCTTTTGCGCTCTTTCGACGGGTGCATTTCCAGCTTCGTGCGGTATTAAATAATGCGGATTTGTTCTACTTTTCGCTTTTTGGCTCCGGTTCTTTTACGAATTCAACGGGTATGAGGTATTTTTCATTTCAGTAAGAGTACGAGATTACTTTTTTTTCAGTATATTCTTTGTTAGCGCGGATCATGTTATTTTCAGTGTGAAATGAAAAATATGTGATTAATATGAACAGCTTATTGCTACTCCCAAACATTGTGCGAAAATATTAACATACAAAGCGTCAATAAAACGTTAGTAAGTTTGTAGGCATCATAAATATGGGGGCGCAGAGACACAGGCCATTGACTAAACGAGTCTCGCAGGAGCTGTTTAGAGGCGATAATAACGTGTAATGAATGTAAACGGTGGTACCCCTTTACCAACGCCGGCGGAACGGAAAACTGTTATCGGGCGGCCACACGCGCGGGGACGCTCTATCGAAATAAGGGCTCCATAAATCTAGACGTGCAGCATATTCATCATATAATAGTGTATGTGTTTTATGTGCTACAATAATGGTCAGGGGCGTTATCGAGTCCCCCACTCGAATATTATTTGTAGGCACACAGATATAAAGAAACAGATGATGTTGTTTCGGCCATTACCTGAACATGTCGTCTCGTCTCCATTCACAAATCGTAACTAAACTAGAGACTTAAGTTATCACACGCAGCCTTGTGTTCCACAGTACCTACAAAGGTACACTCCAGAACATAATCCGAAATCTGTTTCCAAACATTCACTATGTTAGACAGACAGCTATGTATGTATAACCGGGTATGTTACAGGCAACATCAGACGGATAGCTTTATGACGGGCGCGACGTCACATAATCGAGCCAGACCTACCGTGCACAGATAACGCGATTGTGTGTAATAAACGGAATGCAATTGAAATCCTATTAGACATATGGCCCCATCGATACTGATACATGACGTTAATAGGTTTCACGTTTGATTGTGTTAACATGTGCCGTCGGTACGGACAACTTGATTGGTTGCAAATTGTCTCGTGGAATAGGTATTTTGGATTGATATCATGTTGCTAGGTTGGTATGGTTGAAGAGAATGTGTTAGGTATGAACCATGTAGGTAGGTAGTCTTAGGGTTAATGCAAATTAAGATGCCTGCTTTTATGACATTTTTTATACGAACCTTGTTCATTATATATTTAATATCTGGTCTATGTATCCAAGATCCAAGTTACAATAAAATATGTTTCTAAAAAAATTCTTTGTTTTTCTATAGGAGTTATATCAGCAGGCGTGAGCGTGCCTGTGCAAATCCCATCGCAAGGGCCGGACCTGGCATCGAACTACTGGGGACGGCTTCAGTGATCTCAGCTATTCGGGTTCCCGCATCGGCTTCTGTCGATGCCTGAGAACCCGACCAACATACCAGAGTCCCCATCTAGCGGCGAGATCGCGCACAACTACGCCGACGCGCACTTGTCTATGAACGCGGCCATCAACATGACGGCCGGACACGATGCCAATGTTTTGGCGGCAGATTTACAAGAACAAAACAATTCAGTGTCGTAAGTGTACACAAGAGACTGTTTAATATACCCCGTTCGTTTCACAATCCAGTTATTTAAATTTTAGTGAAATTTCAGTTCTAAATGGTGCAAGTTATTTTAATTTATGTATGTACAATAGTTTTCGGACTACACTTTATTATTAAGAGGCAACTGATGATGTTCAAAATTAGTCGTAAGCAAACGACCGTACACGATGATGTGTGCTACGCACTTCCGAACATTCATAATATTGTACTTATAATTTAATTTATAGTTTGCTTAAACATAACACATACATGTATAGTAAATACAGATATTTTAGGCATGTTTCATTGCGTACGGTCAATAAATAAAATAGTAAGCTAGTAACAATAGCGTGCAATTGTAAATATAGAACAGCGCCATCTATTGTCGAGTAGAGGAAGTTTCTTTAATGGCGGGCGAGAAGTCCTCGGCGGAATATAAATGTAAATTGTTTGTGCCAACGTTTGTAATAATCGAGTGTTATGCGCCCTTTGCGTGCACAACCCTTTCTATTTCTTTGATGTATGCAATAGGGGTGCGAAATGTTAATGCTATAGAGAAAAAAAACGTGGCGATGAGCTTCGTTATAGCGTTTGTTTCACACCCCTGCCTTCACGAACAAATTGTCATACAGACTAATCATGTTTGTACTATTGTGATGATTCTTGTATAATATTGTTACTAAATAGATGTTGTACGTAATGTGTCAACTCAAGTTCATTAGCACACCTTGAAACGAATTAATTTATTATTTATTGGTAAAATTAAGATAAATATCGCTGTGATTAAAATATTATTAAGATTTATAAGATTAATTTACCATCAACATCGTGAAAATTTGAACGAAATACTTTTAAACAGCACTGATATTACTTATTGTACAAAACTGTATACAAATTGTAATATTGTCAATACTGAAGTCGAATAATTCTGTCATTTCTTTCTCAATGGTGCTGATAAGCAGCACAAATTATCATTTAATTAAATACTACTTGATAAATATGTACATTTATAATATATATATTTTCATTGAAAATGCAATATGGACGGTCGATAGGAGTTATGTATATGTAATGTAATTTAGTTTTCGAGTAAATGTAAAATAAATTATTACTTGGTATAAGTGCATATAGATTGAGAGATTACAGTGAAAATTTATTAATAAATATTGCATTAACCATTATTATATTGTTTTCTTCCAACCCTAATGTCGTTTGGGATGACGAATGTGATGTTCAAGTGTATCTAATAGAACAACAATAGCTTAATAAAGACGTCTATAAAAATATTGTTAATATCTGCAGTAGGAATTGCAACCTTATTGACACGGGACCACCCTTGGTGTTGCGTGCGAGAATTATTCCGTTAAGTATATTTGGGCGGTGTATATTAATTTTGTGTAGGTTAACTTTGTATAGGACCCCAGTACCCCACGCATTGGATGGGGGAGTCCAACAATGGGATGGGATTAAACTTGTTGTATCGAAGGTATTATAGTGATCTAAATGAAGAGGGAACTTAATGCAGTGCGGTGATAAAATATTTTAAATTCCTGTGGCGTCATCTAATAGGACGAGTGTGAAAATCGACGGCAGTTCTGGAATTTGAGGTAAGTTTAAATTCGAATTAGTGTTCAAATTTAAAAAAAGAATTACAGTTAATGCTGTCTTAAAATTGTGTCGCTAAAGTCACAATACTTCATTTATTGTCAGTTAGTAACTTAAGACACAAAATTTGGTCTATTTTGACAGGGCTATCATTGATTCTAACTTCAGTAGTCGCCTCAAGGTAAACTTATTTGCACAACACACGTTATCGCCATACCCTACATATATTATAACAAAACAGATAACTCTTGGCTCATCACAAGCTGATCAGATAAAACCACCCAGTACCAATACAATGGCATCCATCAAAAACACGCTCCCAACGCCCTCTATGCTCACAACAACTGCACAGATTATCAACGCTTATAATTGGTTTACATTTTGTCTGTCTGTCTGTACCCTATCTATTGATGGGGACAAATGCGTTTGATTTGAATAGCTAATCTTATGTTGGCCAGTATTCTGTTCTAAGGGGTCTAACGATTACTGGATTATTCAAGTTTTTGTCGTAAAATCGTATTAAGAATCCTTATTTAAGCATATGTATGCTAAATGCTTTATTTTACATCGAACAGGGTGATTTTTGAGATATAGTCTTATTTTTACTTTAAATATAGATATTTGATCAATTATAAATATTTATAAATGTAGATAAGTAAGAATATTATATTAAAGTTGTTCAAAGGGCCTCTGTATGTTGGCTTCGGTCCCTCGTACGCCTTCCAAAAGTCCAGGAACCTGTGGTCCCGTGAGTGGAAAGGAACATACAAAATAATTATACAAATAAAATAAATATTTAAAGTTATAAATTTATTAGCTAAAAATGTTAATGTTTACATGTTTTCAAGTCTTCAAGTAATCACACTTAACAGTCTTACAGCGATTTGATATGATGGCAATAGTATTAAAATTAAATATTTAAAACATTGATGTATCTACTAATAACAATAATTATGGAAGAAAAATTCTTTAATTTTATATCCTAGAACGTTGAGTTACATGTTTTTGGTTATATTTTAGACGTTAAAGGGGTCAACCTAGAGAGCGTACGTTATTTAAAACTTGTGACATATTGACTGAATTTCTTACTATTACTACCCACAAGCTTTTATACTTGTCCCTTTCACACGATAACTTTATCCATAAACAAGAAAGAGACATTCGTACATGATATGTTCAGTAAAGTGTTGCATTGAATTATAATGTTTTTTTTTCTGGAGATATAAAAGTAGTATTAAAAGTTTAGGAAAACTATGCTTGGTAGGTATCAATCGCGTTTTCAAATGCGATATTTGATGTGTGAGCAAGCCAAATTCTACCTCTTGTCGAAGCTCTTACAAAGCACAGATATATTGTCATACGCGTATTAGGAACATATTATATTTTAAAAGTAGATATTTTTTTATTCAATAACTATGTTCTATGTTTGAAATTATTCAATAAGAATATACAGGTTATTTAAGTAAATTTTCAAAACTGTTTTGCGAGGTCTCGACTAAATCGTTGAGTTATGAATTCTCGTCGTACCTTGAAACTAGTCGAGCTCTCCCGAACAGTTACGTGAGTAAGTCGTAAAGTGTAATTAATTACGATTATTTATTTAAAAAGCAATGAGAGTTTAAAAAGGTTGATTTCATTTTATATGATTCTTACAACATTTTATGTGGATGAGAAAAGGATTAGAAAATTCGCTCTTGTTACTTTGCAAATAAAAGCGATTTTGAACTAAAACTGTTACTACTGATATGTGTGTAGTTATAGTAGTTAAGTGTCGCCCTATTTTAGTTACTTACGAAAAGTTTCATTCATTAGCTATTTAGACAACAATGAATTAATTTTCGTTTAAATATGTTTATATCTAAATTAATTGATTTTCACTAAAATTAAACTAAATATACTATTTAATTTATATAACAAAAAAACTAGGATTAACTTTATATCTTTGGAAAATGAAAATTGGCACTTTAAGTCAGCCCGCGACGAGATGGAAACATTCAAAAATAAGTTTTCGTTACGTTACCATGGCAACCTACTTTGTTAGTAGTTCTTAGACTCACATTTTATCGAGATCATGTCTGCATGAATTGGGTAGTTTCTTACGTCAAAAATAAATGAATTCGACGTTTCAATACAACAAAATATTGAAAAATAACTATACTTTTATTCATAAATTTGTCGATGCACAAAATTTTCGATTTTTTTAGCTGTTGTTTTTAGAAGTAAATAATCCATTTGACGCAAAAATACTATGACGTCATAATGTGGAGTTACATACAAATTTCATAGACATGTATAGTTTGCGACATTTAGATAAAAGTATTGAATTTGACTATTTGGAAACTACCGTATTGTTAGAGAGGCTGAGGTATTATTTTTATTCAGCTTTGTTATTTAGGTTACCATGGCAACCGTTATGTTAGTGAGTTAATTTTATTTCCTAACCATTTTGAGATCGTGTGCTTTATGGAAATGTTTATTTAACTAGAATATTTGATTTAAATGATTTTCATATGGATTTAATACCAAGGATTTCTACGCCATTTGTAAAAAGTGTGAATGGGGAACGAATACGTTGATTTGTTTTATTATTATTATTGTTGTTTTTAAAAAGATACCATTGGTCAAGTAGTGTTGTATCTAAGACAGTAGAGACGTTCTTTCGTTCTGTACTCTTGCTACAGGTGTACCAACGCCCAGTCCAGTTTGTTGTTCTGGGCTGAAATGTAAAAAACAAAGTCTATTAACATACATATATATAATTATGGAATAGTGGGTGACACAAGGAGACAGGCAGCTTGATGATGGTAAGCAATCTATCCCTCGGCACAAGCAACACTTGCGAAGTTAAAATTGCTTTGCCAGTGTTTTTTTTTGAGGGGGGGGGGAGGAGGGGGGTGGCAGACATTCCTTCATTTCAACCCTGAAGGTCGAAAATCTTAGGATTAGATAGGTAAAGCTATTTGATCTTCTACACGGAACAAATGTTGAGATTTAGTATATGGGTTTATCAAAATCGGTTTAGTAGTATAGTAGATCAGACTTAATAAACAAAACTTATATGAACTAATATTATAAATGCGAAAGTAACGATGTTTAAATGTTCGTTCGTTACTCAATCACGGCAAAACGGCTGGACGGATCTGGATTAAATTTGACACATGCATAAGATACATTCCGGAATAGGACATATACTATTTTTATCCACATACCACGGGGGCGAAGTCGCGGGCAGAAGCTAGTAAGTAATAATAGTTAAATATATAAGTTATATAGACTCAATACACATTAGGCTTGTTTTTTTTGGTTTTAACTTATCTTTATAAATATATCTTCTTAAACGGAAATAAAATGTATAGGTACATAGCTACATATATGTGTCACCAGCTCGATTTCAGTGATACTGCGTAGTTTATCTTTGACATATTCATTGTTCCGATTGCGTTATCATTATAAGTTATGATTCACACACATTATCTGCATTGAAAAAGAAAGTCTGTAAACATTGAAGATTCTATATTTTTATTGAAATACGAAACGATAAAACAATAAATACGAAACATTAAAAAATAAATGTAACAATACTAATAAATAGTAATGATATTTGCGATCATTTTTTTTACATAAAAATAGGTCTGCGTTTGCGCATCGCTCATGATAAGGAAGCACTGAACTTTAAAATCAACTTTAAGTCATTTTGATTATTGTAAGTGGTAGTATCTTTTCAGTTTTAGTTTCAGTTTTAGTAACAAAAAATTTTGATTATTGTAAGTGGTAGTATCTTTTCAAAACATGTCAAAATCACCTTATACTACAGATTTTCTATGTCATATCAATTTAAAATATTGATTTATGTAAACTTTAGCATAAACATCTGTGTACAAGGTGGACTTAATGCTATAGGCATTCTCTGCCAGTCGAACCTTTGGAAATATTACTGATAATATATATTTCATACACTACATACTAAATATCATTGTTATAAATAGTCAAACAATTAAAATTTAAGTTTTACTACTTTAAAATAAAGTTCAATTTCCAACTTACCTACGGGTACCTACTTGGCAGACTCCATCGAATACAAAAAAACAATCTTCACGCAACTAAATAGAGTTTTAATTTGAACTTACCGACGGAAATAGTTGGGTATAGCGCCATACATGGTAGGTTCCGCCACGCTGGGCCTAACGAGCCTCGTTGGGGGTGGGAATGGGGGTCTACCACGGTTGTGCCAGTGTTGGAAGAAGAAACCCAGACTGGCTAGAATTACCCATACCAACGCCATTGATATATCTGGAAGGAAAGAAAAGAAGATTAAGGTACCTAGTTTTATTAATTGTACAAAAAGAAATATGAGAGAGCTACGCTTTGGCACTCTACTCGACCAAACTGATATTATGACCTTACAAAAAAACCGCTATTAAAATACACATGTACTGTATTCGGGCGTGTGATTGAGGTTATAGGATATTGAATCTTTGGCATAATCCCACCCCCAATTATTTTACACCCTTAACCCCCAAATGGCCAACAACGTGCGTGTAACTTCTTTGGCGTTGCAAGTGTTCGTGACGGGCCGATGCTTACAATAAGGTAACTCGTCAGTCCGTTTTTGATCCCTAAAGTAATCATTTCTAGTATTGTAGCCTAGGATGGTGCGAGGAGTTGAGATCCGGAAAAGAAACTTTATTTTGAGGTTTGTTAATCATCGAATGACTCCACACGCCCTGGGTGAGAGGACAGGTCTTCGAATCGTTTAAAAACCACCCCATTACAACTCTTGTTCGGAGCTGGACCACGTTATATCATTGCACTTGATCTGGAACCTTAATCCCTTTTATTACTTACGAGAGAGAGGTTTTCTAAATACTGAACGGTACTTGTAACGGACACAGTCAGATGCATGTTGCCATTACCCACATGTTACTGAGAAATCATTCGATTAAGTGTGGTTAGAAAATGTATTTATTAGGTATCACTTTTGATATGTAAACCTACATTTATGAGTCAAAACAGGAAAAGAAGACACTGATTTGTTCGAACAATTACACATTTAATTATCCCTAAACACTGTGTGACAAGGAGCACAGTTGAGGCAAATGAGGGAGCAATCACCTATAAACAGCTTTCTTGCTTTAAATTTAAATTTGAAAAAAAAATTGGCTGATCTGAACAAATAGACTCTTTGAAACTTTTAGGTACCTACACGATAAGTTAGCGTTTACTAATTCTATTGTAGCTGTAATGTAATGTAGCTGTTCTAAAAATAATCTTAGAATTTTTAGAACAGCCCAAATCTGGATTTCCAGTCCCTATCTGAACACGATTTTTAAGGATCTTTTGGTCACTGAAATTGGAGGATTTATCTGATCACAGATTTAAAACACATTCTTATTGCTGTACAATTTTTGCTGACAACATTTTATTGACACTTTATCTTATTTGTTTATTATTTTATGATTTTTTATTCCAAACTCAAAGACAGTGAATATGCTCAAATTATATTTTAAGACAGTTTAGAACTCATACAGTAACGGTGACTTACTAAAAATATTAAAATAGCGAAAATGCGTATGTATGAAAAGCTTTTTTTTACTATTTCAAATAAATACTGCTAAACGTATCTAAATAAAATTTGGCTTATAGTCTGGTATAATACATAGTCTATTAACACAACAGCGTATTAACCTATCGCTTAGTACTAGTCGGACAACAATTATGCTACTAATTGGCAGGGAAAATGATCGTTTCGTGTTGATAACTAACTGTATGCGCGTGCGCAACTAAATTGACAAACGAGCACCTATCTAATAGTATTATTTCAAACATTTTTATTTACACATAGTTAATGTTATTTTAGTTTTGCTTGTATAATTTGAATAAGTACTACTTATTCGAAAATAATGTTTGTATCTAACTTATTTTATAACTTTGATTTAATTTTCTAGGCATATTTATTTACTAAGCAGAATCACTCAGAAGCCGGTAACATAGGACTACTAAACATGGAGTGGACACCTTCAAATTAGTTTCGCATCCAGCCACTTTCAGCTACCCATTGAATTTCATCATCCGATCAGAAGACACATATCTGGAAACTATCTATCTATCTATCTATCTATCTATCTTTCTAGTCTATATAGGCAATAACAGACATTAGTTTTTCGCAAAACATAAGACGAAGAACTACAAAGAAAAAGGACGAGAAGTAAACACAGCGTAATGTTTCGCCATGTGAGTGAGGTTACCGGACGCCCTTACCCTCCGCCCAATCCCTAAATCCCCAAACTCTAATCCCCTAAAGATCGGCAACGCACTCGTAACTCAGCGTAGATGCGGGTGTCCAAGAGCAGATTTCTTACTATTAGGTAAACGTATGCTAGTTGGCCGTCCTATCACATAAACATAACTTTAGCTACCTACACTTAAAAATTAGTTAAAGGAATATTGTTTTAAAAACAAACAAGATATATTGAGTTATTTTATCTATAATACCTAAATGTTTTTGTTTAATTACAAGTGTTAAGTTATGATATTGCGAAATAAGGTAATCACCCATGTTATTACATTGTAGGTACCAAGATCAACGGGTTAGTCACCTTCAATATAGCTAATTGGGTACTTCATACATTGCTGGTACACTTATAAAAACAGTGTTATTTCTTAATTCATTAATCTAAATGTTAATTCGTACCTTATCTATACTAATATTATAAAGAGGTAAAATTTGTAAGTTTGTACGGTGTAGGGGGTAATCTTTGGAACCGCTCGCCGGGTATCCAAAATTCTTTCAATGATAGATAGCTACAAGGTTCCTGAGTGCTATAGGCTATAAAACATCACGCTACGATTAAATGGAGCCGAGCTGCGGGTGAAACCGCGCGAAAGTAGCTAGTAACTTAAAACTTTGCATGACGAAAATAGTAGAGGATATAGCATTTCAGGTTGTTTAAGCGTAGGCTGCTTATTAAGAAAGACATTTTATGATACTAAAATACAATAATAATTATATTCTGCCCAAACTTAAGTTATTTGTGTGAGAAAACTATTTCTTGGCACACAAATCTTAAGATCGCAGTTTTTGAAATAGGTACGCTGTACATACATATAGTATAAGTACCATAATTGTGTGTTTGCCTATCCAAATGAGGTATTGTGAGACAGATCAAAATCTCTATGTAAAGTTAAAAATATTCACAACTTAAGTGTGGGATAGCCATGCTTCGGCACGAATGGATCGGCTCGACCGAAATGATACCACGGCCTCACAGAAAACCGGCGTGAAAAACAGCGCTGTGTTTCGCCGTGTGAGTGAGGTTACCGGAGGCCCAATCCTTCCTATCCCCCAATCCCGAAATCGGCAACGCACTCGCAACTCCTCCGTTGCGGGCGGCGCTGATTGCTTACCATCAGGTAATCCGTTAAATCGTTTGCATAAAAAAAAATATATATAACATAAAAAAACTCACCTTTCCAATCCAAAGGCGGTGCTAAAATAGCTTTATTGAAGTGTGGAACAACAGCTCTTCGGATCACATTTATGATGATGAACTTGAGGTTGGATCCCAGGTAGTAATCCATTGCCAGTACAGATGCGAACGCGCCGATAACGGCACAGCACAGAATGTTTGCCGCGTAAGACACGGAGACAACTGCTAGAGCAGTCAACATCACCACCAGAACGAAAAGACTCCAGAAATTGAAGTCCAATTCCAAGAATAGTTGGTGACCTACAAAATGGAGGTTTGTTTATAGTCTTACACTTCTGATGGGTTCATTTGTAATAAATTGTGATGATTAGGATGCCAATGGATCGAATCGACCAGAGTGATACCAAGGTCTCACAGAGCAATCACAGCGTTGTGTTTCGCCGTGTGAGTGAGGTGACTGGAGGCCCATTTCTTCTAAACCACAATGCCTAAATCTCCAAAAAAAGATAATTTTCCGTATGATATGGGTTATCGAACGCCCAATCCTCTTCCTTCCTCATTCCCAACTCTAATTTTCCAAATCCCCAATCCTCAAATCTCTCACCTCTAAAGACTGGCAACACACTTGTAACAAATGCCTTGCCAAGGTTGTGGGTCTCTATCGGTGATCTTCTGGTGTTGCGGTTGTTCATGAGCGGCGCTTATTGCTTATCAACAGGTGATCCGTACCTACGCTCGATTGCCACCACATCAAAACAATACAATGTCCTTTCTAAATTTAAAGTATGTGTATGCAACCTTTTAAAAAGACTGATTGTATACCTAACTGAATCGTATACACGTGAAAATCTAAATTGATGCGAGAAAAGCAACATATAATAACTTGCAGGTATGCTTATTACTTGTAAAATACCTTAAAGGAAAGACATCAATCAAATTGGACATTTAAATTGAGCATTAAAATTTTAGTTTTAATGTACCTAATGGAAAGGAAATTACTCTGTTTTTATCGATCAAATATTTGCAAAAAAACTCACCAGGCAGCCTATAATAGAATATGGAAGCCAGCAAGAAGCCAAGGTTTAACGAAGGCAACAGTACTGAAAGTACTGGTATGCCGTATAACCACCAGAACAGCCACCATATCCCTCCGAAGAATACTCCAGAAATCGACGCCGCTGCCAGTAACGCTAAAATAATTTCAAGGTCATGTGAAAATAATGGTCATTATGTAACGGACCATCGCAGGACTGAACAGCCCTTAATCTTCATCATAATTATCTACCTACATGAAGAGGAAGCCTTTTGCTCCCCATGATGAGGAAGCTTATTCTTCTCCATGAAAAGGGAGCCTATGCCTCTCCATAAAAACATTCAGTGCCACCGACTCACCCAGAGAGTCCATGTAAATTTTATTCCAGTGCCGCGGACTCGCCTAGCGAGTTGAAAGTAAAATGTACGAGAAATTGGCGACATCCAAGATATCATTGTCAAAAATTGTAGTGGGAATAAAAGTGTTGAAAAAGTTGATCATAATCTCAATTTTCATAAGCAGACTGGAGTTGGATTGTAATACAGACAACGTTAGCCTCAATATTTGGCCAAGAGTTTATAAATACTCCTTGTTTGTCGAATTGTAACTCAAGAACAAACATTGAATTTTATGTTCATCTACTCCAGTGCGTTTTTATTTAGGGAGTCGAACCCTAAAAAGTTAAACGGACAGCAAAAACAATGACCAAACATTACGCAAATCAATTTGTATCAAAGAACCTTGATCCCATCTCAATTCATGATCAATAATTATGCGCACGAATTGAATTTATCGAGTATATTTAGCACAGACCAAGGCGGCAACGTAACGAATACTTACTCACCGCTAATTATATAAAATCAATTGCTTATAATTACCTGGTTTATCAACTACAGTAATTAGGGCTATCAAAATGTAAGTGATGATGACACCAGTAAAGAATCCAGCGAAAAACATTTCAGTCTTGAAGAAACGATGGCCAAAGAAACAAATGAAAACTCCGACAAACATTAATGTTGCACATAGCAGTTGGGATAGCCAATCATCTGTAAACAAAAGATAAGCAATAACATCGTGTAAAAACAAACAAATGTGGGAGAACCATGCTTCAGCACGAATGGGCTAGCTCAACCGGACTCTTACTTGGGTTTTGACTTATAAGTGAGGTTACCGGAGGCGGCGTTGATTGCTTACCATCGTGGTGGCATGAAGGTTAAAGTTCTCATGCATGAGGAGGACGGTTCGAAACTTGGCAAATACCAATGTGACTTTTCTGATTCATCTGTAGTTACTCAGTCCATGCATCACCATCATATGAGCTACAAGACTTTATCTGCTGAACATTGGGCCTCCCCTAATGACTTTCAGATCGTCCGATTGGAAGCAACTTGCATCCAATGGCGCCTTGTTATCTTAAGTCTGTTTCTGCTAGATGTTATAAGCTGTGATTGACAGTATAATCGTGGCGGTCATTCTATAAATTTTCTACCCCATCATTCGTCAATATCTTATAAGGACCCACACAAAAACAAACCTTGATTTAAGTATGGAAATGTAACTTACCAATCATTTCGCAGCCATCATCGTTTATGTCGTTACATCCGTAACTATAGCTTGGCACGTACACGGAGTATAGAGAGGCGTTGTCAACCCTTGTCGCCACTACAGTGTATATAGCACCAGTACCTGGGTAAGCGCTCAACATTCGACGCGTCTCGGGCCAAGAACTTTTCGGAATCTTCGAGAGAGGCAAAATTAAATTATCACCACGTATTAGCCTTAGAGGAAAGCGGCGTGAAATATACACAGCGTTGTGTTACGCCATGAATGAAGTTACTGGAGGCCCAATCTTTCCTCTACCCTCATTCCTCCCCAAAACCTTTATCCCCAAAAGGCATGGCTAGCCACGTAGCTGCAATCTTCTGATGTTGCGGGTGTTTATAAGCGCCGCCATTTGCTTTCCATCAGGTAATACGAAGGCTCGTTTCCAGCAGTATCACATAAAAAAAATGAAAGATAGCAGACAAGAATTGGCTTTTACTAGTCTAATTTAGAACATATAAAAACGAAGTAGTCAAATATACCATCAAAAATAGACGAGCCAATTTTGTACTACCATAAGTAGTTAACCGTTTTGGTCAAGGTAAACGACTTAAAGGAATCCGAGAATTTGTACTTTATCTACGAATTAGCATAAATGGAAAATTTGAAACTGAATTAAATCAAGATAACACCGAAAATAACTATAGATAGAAATCGGATAGGTAAAGACTTGTATACTTACTCGGTAACCATATTTCATAATGTTCTTGAGGCTCATCATCTTCCTGATGCCATCAAAGTAGACATCAGCATAGAAATTCATTTCGGGCAGATACATCATGTAAAATGACATATTCGCTTGTAGAGTATTCAAACAACCAGGATCTACGGACGGTGGTGCCGCGTCCACGAAAATATAATCAGTGTATGTCATAACATTCAGAAAAGGAGTAACTGGTATTGGGTACTCCATGTTGCATCCACCTGGGATGGGGTCTGAAAAAATAATAACTAGTTTATCAAGTTTTTTTTTTAAGATGCGTGCAAAAGAGACGGATTGATCGTATGATCTATCTATAACCATTTCTCATGGCAACTATTTACAAACCGCCGGTCTGTAATATTTAAACAGATTATCATCACTATTGCGAGCTATATCCAAAACTTAACTTATGAGAAGAAACACTGTGTTAAACTTAGACTTAATTAGAAGTAAATATCTGCCGTTAGTTGTATTTCAGAGCCCAGCTAACTAGCAATTTTTTTAAGGAATACGGCGGTCACCATCATCTTTATCCGTTGTGTCCGTTCACTGCTGGACATGGCCTTTCAATTGCGCCCTACTGAGCTCGATGTTCAGCTCTTCTTATCCACACTCTAGAACACGTCGGCGACAAATATGATCTGCCTACTGTAACTTCAGTTTGCTTATACTTTGGCAAACTGAGCGCGATAAATGAGCTTTATTATCGCCTATTGGTAAGGAATCGGCGACAACCTCCTCCATATATGCCTCCTATGATCAGAGGCTCTGATCCCTTACTATCAGGTGAAATGCCACTCATTCGTAGCCTATGCCATATAAAATTTGTAGTTTATACGTTGCGGGCAAGACCAGGTGGCCGTAATTAATTCTATTCATCAAATCTGTAGTTCGATCGGACATTAAAAATAGATGTAGATTACGTTATGCATTGTGCGTCAATGAAAAAATAAAACCTGTATCTAATATGTCGTCAATCGTAATATTATATGTTATATCAATGTACCTATTTGATATTATATATTATATGTTATACCACTGTAAGTCTTGTGACATTTAGCTAATGTCTAATATAGCTAAATATAATAATACCGATATGTCTTGTTACATGGGTAGCAACCAGTAGCTGCCCAAAATTAGTCTGACTTCCTACTTCGTAATTTTTGGGGTTCCATACCCGAAAAGAGACAATAGGAATGCTAGTTAATAAGACTACGCTATTTTACCGTCCATTCTTTTGTATGTATGTCTGGCTGTCTGTCATCTTGCTGTATGTCATGAGCCACGATAGCCAGACAGTTTGAACACAGATAAGGTATTTCTGTTGCCGCTATTGCAATTAATACTACAAACAAAATAAATTAAAGTGAGTTTCAATATCGATTGTCAGCTTTGTTTGAATAAACATCTGTGAGAGCCAAGCTTCGGCAGGAGCAGGTCGGCTAGACCGCGGTTATACCACGGCCCCACAGAAAACCAGCGTGAACAGCGCAAAGCCGGGAACAAACTCGTAACTCCTCTAGCGTTACAGGAGCCCCATTGCTTACCATCAGGTAATCCATATGCTCGATAGTCTACCTTTATAAAAAAATGTCGTGTACAATTCCAGCTCACACTTGTCGGGTTTTTTATATATAAATTTCGATTACGTAATCTAATCATCTTGATATTGGTATCACATATCATTGAATAGATATTAGTTTACATTTAAGTGACATGGGAACCTAATGTTTTTGTGGTGTGTAACATGGTTGGTATCTGAATAGATAGAATGTTTTCAATAAAAACTTTGTCTACAATCTATGTATTCAAAATTAGAATTAGAATTTGAAAAAAGGTTAGAAACAATTTTACAATATAAAAAAATTGTTCCAAATTCTGTAGAGAAAATACAAATTGTAGATATAGACAACTAGCAGTTACCCGCGGCTCCTTTTCTGGACTTCCACTAATAATTTAAGACCAAAATTTGCCAAATCGGTAGTAAGTAAAGGCATTGTTAGGTTATAACATAACAATGAAAAGTGGCATTGATTTTAATATTATAGATTGTAGACAAATTCAAGTTTTATATAAAAAAGGTAAGTATATGGTGCATACTGTGAGTGTAGTTATGTAGGCACGTGCATGTGTAATCACAACAAATTGAAATGAAATCACAACAAGCAAGTAAATAAGTAAGCCATATTAAATAAAAATAACTGTAAAAAATCTTACCCATTTTGAAATAGCCATGGACGGATATGTAAGCCCGAACAGTAATATTATTGTTAGAATTGGACACAATAAATGTGTTTATGGGGTTCACAGAGCTCACTAAGCCCACATTAGTGCCTGTAGCATTTTTTTCGCCTTGTGTTTTATCACTTGTATACAGAGAGATGTTATTTATATGGCTGTGAGCTTGAAAAACAATGAAAGTAAGATTTTTGTTGACATCAATAAACTTAATTGTAACTCTCGATATCCCATTCATTGTTATAAAACCTCCATAAATTTCTCGATTATCATATGTTATTGAGCTGTTTAAAGGGATTGTTATGCTGCCATCTAAAACAAATAAATTTTATTAAGTACTTTTATATAAAGAACTAAGTATCTGTTTTATAATTTTTATATACAGAGCTTTTGATTTGAAAAATCTTATAAATGTCTTTGGATATCCATTTACTATTCATATGCTGATTAGCTGGTTTAATTTCCGCATCATTTAATATTTATACGTAGGTAAAACATTAAGTATAGAGAAATAAATTGACAAAATACCTTACAATTTTTTTATTAATTTTTTTTAAATATTCTCTTGTAGAAGTTATTCAAGTAAGCTAACAAAATATCAGAATTTTCGCCTTATTTAAATGTTATTGTTTAATTTTACTTACCTTGTGCAGCAACAGGATTGAAGATATAAATTAACGACAATATCGCTAATAGAAGTATTTCACCCAATAAAGAATGCATTTTTACTTATCTACCAGCAATGTTATAAAAACGTTATCACTGATTCTAATGTACACAATAGCGAAAGTTTTGATCAATTCCAATTAGAGCATAAATAATTCGTAACAGCTGATCATTTTGACACTGCCAATATCACAATCGCTTGCGAAGAAAACACTATTAACTAAAGATTGTTGGGACGACGAACTACACGGTGATAACAAATGACTAAACAATAAAATTATTCACATTTTGCCCTTATGATAGCGCATTCATAATACACAGTCGGCGAGGAAAAGTCGGCAAACGAACAAAACAAGTTTGCCGAATGCTGAACGAATGACAGCTCTTCTATCAACATAATGACAGTGACACAGAGCGAATGAAATGAAGATGTTTGACCTAGTTTTGAAAACATTCCTTCAAACAAGGAATGATTTGTAACAGATAAATAAAAACATATGAAACTTGTTTTATCAGATTATTTTTTTAGTTTAGATCAGATTTTATTGTAATAACAGATATTATTTTACTCTATAAAATTATTACTTATAACTGATCTCAAAAAACGTTTAAATTTCTTTGCGTTGCTATAGTTTATGATTTTTCACGATGAAATAAATATGAAAACTAAAAGAGAACTCAATTTATTATTTCTTTGTATTGTTGTGTCATTTCAACAGTCCAAAAATAAAGCCAAGAATAAATATTATTTTTATGTCGTAAAACTAATGATTTTTCATTAAAATATAAACAAAATATTAAGTTTAGCAGCATAACTAGTTTCAAGATGAGACCATGTTTTTTTATAGATCTCGTATATTCGTGTCGTATTGGTTATATAAGAAAGAAGTTATATTTTCTGACAAAATTAAACCATATTGTGATATTATAAACACTATTTTTACTTTGGTTTGTAGCAGTTACTCCGCGGCTTATGATTTGACTGTTCACTGTTCGTTTCATTCTCGATATCGATTCCTTCGCTGGCCGCTAGAGCGCACTCACGTCAAAATTCTCAAATATGGCGGCGCGATCAATGAAGTTGTAATGTGTAGTGAGTGAAGTCTAGTGTAAAAATTGAAATGTTTAATTTTGGTGTTGTTTTTGTGTGTGGTTGTTAACATTAATGGGCCATGGGAAGGAGCCAGGAGCTTTTAAACGCCGCCCGCGAAGGCGACAAGCGGACTGTGGAAAAAATACTTGGTCAAATAACTAATATAAGTGGTCCATTTACAAGGTGGGTCCTGATTCATGTTTTATTGTTTAACTAGTAGACTAATGAAGTTAAATTTGTTGTTGACGTACTAAGTTGTTACAGTAATATATATCTACGTTAGAACAATCGGAAAAATGTTTAAAAAAATTGTTATCTTTGTATCAACAATGATGTATTGTTATCACAATTTAAAAATGTTTACGTGCTTATCGCAGTTTCATGACAGATGATGGTATCATAAACGCTTTATATAATCATTGTGGGATGTTTAATGTTCAATGAGACACTGCTTCAGGTAAATGGTCATCAATAGTTATTCATTTATGTACCTTAGGTAACTTACCTACTCCAGTATTCAAATTGTCGATACGAATTTATTGCCAAAATTCGATCCCAGGATCTATTACAAATGATTAAGGTTGATAATTGCATGTTAGTCATACATGTTAGTATGGGTTTGGAAGTGTATTATCTTTTGAAGATAAAAATGTAATCTTAAAAGATATTTTTTTATATGGAACTGTTCAATAAGTACAGGCCATGCCCATTTTGCGTGCAGAAATTGTGGCAAAAATGATTTAATTGTGTATTTATCAGCCCTAAAAATATTGCTTGACAGGTGTGGGTGTGAAATAAAATTAAAAATACTAATGTTATTTTTTACTGTCTTACAACTAGATTTGTGTGGTAAGAATGAGTTATTCACAAGAAACATTAATAAAGTCCACAGATTTTCCTTATTGCTAGCTTCACTTAAAACCAGTTGTTTGGTATTTTATTATAAAAACCTCACATTATTGCTTCATTTGTCTTATTACAACTGTTCAATGTAGAATGATTCTAATAGTTGAACAGTAATCACATGAAAAACATGATTTTTAATAAATTGAGTATGTATCATAACAGTTACTATTAAAAAATAAACAACCTCATTTATTCAATCTTTTTGTAGCTAATCATACAAGCATTAAGAAAAAAAAATACTACCAATGTTTATAATCGACCCAGCTTTGCTTGTTATGCCTTAGTTTTACCCTAAGTCCTTTTTGCATGTTTTCTTTGGTACCAATACATACTTCAATATTAGTAAAGGACAAATTGAGAAATTAATTGTACTGCCTGTTTATAGATTTTTTAAGTTGAAATTAGCATGTAAACAGTGTATTAAATGTTATTACCATGTTAACTGCGACACAGGTCATTGTGACCTATGTTAGCGGTAGATTTGCCTTCAACAGTTTCCAGGTGGTAGTTACAGTGTAAAGAACTTGAATACTTGTATCTCATTTAGTTGACTTTTGATCTGAAATATGAAATAATTAGTTTGTAAGAAGATAGTAATTTTATCAACATTGAATATTTCATAGTTCGTTTGTTAAACAATGAACAGGCAAATCCATGTTTTACCTGTTGAATGCTGTACATTTGTACATATTACACAAGTTAACTGATATTTCATCTCTCAGTTACTATTAATAGTTAAATAACAGACTCATGAAATCCCAAATGCTGTATCAGGATAACTATGCCTTTTTGCCTGTCAAGTATTTTTGAAATGGTCAATTAAAATATTTTTTTTCCTAAATCGAATATTTATTATGGAATTTATATTGACCCAAACAGTTGACACAAAGTTTGTGACACAAACCATGAAGTTGATAAACCAACCAATAAGGTAAATGTGATAAACCAATATAAATAATAATTATTTAAATCAAAAGAAAGTAAATCCTCCAATAAATATAGGTCAGAAGTGTCCTATGGCACAACAAAAGATTTTGATTTTAAGTAAGTTAGGTACATTCATCCATAAAGTCTATTATCCCAAAATCAAATAGGTATTTAATTTTAGCAAAAAAATCATGGTGGTTGATGATGGTTTGTTTATATGCACCTAGTATTAAGATGAAACAAAAAGCAACTCGTTTTTAAATATTTCTATAATTTTATTTAAATAGGTAACTATATGACTCTGATATATGATTTAAGGTATTGTTTAATTGTATGAAAATTTCACAATAAGAAAGAAGAATTTTTATTATTACACATCATTGCATTTCTTAGTAGTTTCCGAGATAAAGTTGAGGGACTAATTATTTTTTTATTAATATCTAGTTACCTACCTAGTTATTGTTGTTTTACCGATTACTTCTTTTACTGTTTATGTAATGTAGACCTTGTTTATGTCTCTATGTTACATAAAGGCGACAAAGTACTTACATACCTGATTGGAATATTGAATACATAGGTAACTAGGTTAAACTTTCCAAATTTGGAACACAGGTACCACCTATACATGTGCGGGTCTGCAGGCGGCGAGCTAGGGTAACTCGCAGCCTTGGAATAAGGTGGCTTTTATTCAGTAGGAATCTGACACTCCCTATCGCCTCACCTAGTTCGAGAGAAGTCATTTCATGGTTTTCTCCCAACAAAAAGCAATCTATACATTTTCAGAAATACATATATTAAGTAACTGATTTCTTACGAAGTCCCAAAAACATTTTTACCTTATCCTATATCTAAATTACTTGTAAACTGTACCAAAAGATAAGGTACATTTTTGCCGTAAAACCATTTGGCGCCTAATAGCTGTTTACTTTCCACTTCAAAGGCAGACAGACGTTTTTTTGCTTGTAAGTATGTGTGCATAGATAAAATCGCAATTGATAAATAATACTAATTTTCACTGTTGTCGTAGACCGGAATAACCGACGAAATGCTAAACAAAGTAACTTAATGGTTTCAAAGTAATTAAACTATGTATTATCATGAATATAATTAGCAATCCATGATAGTCTTTCTGCTGTAGAACGTATATATCCATGCATGAGGTTTTGCGATAGTAGCCATGCTTCAGTTTATCAGATACATCAGTGGGTCCTTATAGGCTTGTATAGGACTACAATTTATTTGACTGTCACTAGTTCCTACTACACGCGAGGAAATTTAGGGCTTCTGGCCCTAAGTTTAGGTGATATCTGACGGCAAAATTATTTTACTTTGTTTGACAATTTTTTTTGCTTCCATTCCACATTGGAACTCCCTTAATGAACTCCAATCCAGCTGTGTTTAACGGTTCATGATAAAATAGTAGAAGAATAAATAATCAAAAATCATGTGCACACGTTATCTATTTAAGGAAGTAGGATAAGTCAAGCCATTAAAGTGAAGTGTTTGGCGGTTGGCCAGACGCCAATCGATGTTTGAGAAACGTACGTTGAACTTTTGTCTTACCGCCCGTCTGTACTCTGTATCAAACGCTGTAGGATTAGGGTTGGCAGGTCAAAAATTAGAGAGGTTTCTTTTCCTACATAAATTCCGATTTTATAGAAAATTGTTGCTTAAACAGAGAAATAAATGTTGACTGTAAGTAGCCGTTTTAAAGACAAAGTGCTGTAATATAAATTCCAAATAATCATCTTTTTTGATACTTCTTATTTTGTAAGTTTCTTCTGTTCTGAATATTGGAACCGAATTAGGAGCTACTGCTCCATTAAAATTTTTTGCTTATCCGTTCATCGGATCAAAAATAGCCAATGAATGTCTATTGTATCCTGACAACCCTATGTTCAAGGTGTTTGTATGCAAAACACTCCAACCGGACACTGCAAGTTTGGCAGGCAATAAAAATGCGCTCAAAACTGCACTTAGAACATGTGCAAAATAAGCAAACAATAGTCTAACCTCCATGGTCTGCACCTGATCATTTTAGCTTCCTATAGTACAACCAAATATAAATAACTACCGTTGGGTGGCCTCATAGTTAAAGGTACCTAACTATTGGATAAAATTGCAAATCATTCTTTGAATTAAAATACCACTCATAACTATTGTGGAGCATCGATGAATCTAGTTAGGAAACCAATAATTTTTTTGCTTCCTTTAAAACCACGATGCATTTTCGGACCTAAAAGTATTATGGATGGTGTCTTTTTAGTGATCAAGTCTGAGGCAACCCTATTAAAAAAGTCGATGCGGCTAGCCTCTATAAAGTTTGGAGTTTATAACTTATGTACAACAAAAACAAATTTAGCTGAGAATTAAGTGGTCTGCGATTTTCAGTACTAAATCAATGAGTTTTTTCTTAACAATGTGTTTGAGACCTGATTTATTCTGGGCTGGGCTAGAGCTAGGGCTCTTGTTTGTTACTTTTGTTTCTGTTTTGACGTCCAAAAAGTTCGATATCTAATCCATAACTTTGGTTTAATAATCGACACCTATTAACCTAGTTATTTAAAAAAAATATGACCGCACTAAACATTATAAGGATTCTAAAGAGCAAAGTTAATCTTGGATAATAAAAACTGCGTGTCGTCGTGTCCTGTCAACTTGGTAACCTTCGCAATCACACACAATCTGTTAGAGTCAACTAAAGGGAATTGGGGTCACAGTCTTTAGACGAACATGTAGGCGATGTACTAGATCACTTTGCACACTCAATTGCTGTCTTTAAATTTCACCGTTTTAAACTGGCATTTCTATATCATAAGCTTTCATTTTGTCTATGTGTAATGTGCAATCATCTAAAACTATTCACCTCACATCGTCATGGGAGTGCTGGAGCAAGGTTTGCGGGAAAGCATAAAGAAGATGCCTATTAGGTAGAAGAAACAATTTAAAAAACAATTTTATTTATTTTTTAACTTTCACTTGCAGTTTCAAAAATATCCTTCAAGTTGGAAAACCCCGGGGAGTAGAATTACCCGTACCGGTCACCGAGCAAGTCTCAAAATTGGAAAAGCCAGAGGAACCAATTTGGTTTGTAAATAAAAGAAATCCAACTAAAGTGATTAACATCAAATATGAGACATGTATTAGGGTATACTCAAGCTAATTTGGATAAAAGACATTTCTGTAGGCGTTATCGAGAATCCTGATGACGAACGATCGCGTGCTACTAACAATTTAGATACTTGCCTAGCTTCTTTATTGTTAACGCTACGCATCAACAAAGCTTCAAGGCACCTTTTATCAGATAATGGAATTATCACTTCGACCCAATTACATTCTGTTTCTATAAATCTTCGGCGGTTATAAATTGCAGCAAATGACTCGCAGAACTCGCTACGATCCGAAACGCAAGGCAACATTGAACCAAGCGCCCATAGCCATTCTAAGCAATTTTCATCTTTAAATTCATATGCTTATGGTAATATTTTGGGTGAAGATTTAAGCAGGAAATTTTACCAGTTTTAATATGTCTGGAAGACGAATATTATCGTTAAAAGGTATTTGGGATCAGCTGTTTTAAATAGCCAACGGCGTCATAAAAGTTTTAGAGATATTGTTCCAGCTTGCCCTTTTCGGAAGATTTCTTAAATACAAATCTTCTTATATATATAAAAATGAATCGCAAAATGTGTTGGTAAGCGCATAACTCAACAACGCCTGAACCAATTGAGCAAATTCTTTTTTTGTTGTGTTTGTTATTGTCGTGAGAAGGTTCTTATCAAAAAAAAATATTAGAAAAATAGAGGGGAAGATTAGGAAAAAGTGACCCTTTGATAGCGAGTTAGTTGGACCCGTGCGAAGCGGGGGCAGGCCGCTAGTTCTTTATAAAACTTTATAATATTACATCATTGAAAAACATAACAATCTAAAGCGATTCTCACAAAGTACGATGCTCGTTACGTTCAATAATTTTTGTAGCATTATTCAAGTTCGTATGTAAAATAAGTAATATCATTTTAATGATTCATACCGGGATAGGCCCATTACTTCACCTCTCTAATTGATATTGCTTCCCTACACATATGATATGTATGTATTGTATAATGGAAATGGACAAAATATGTACTGGAACTGAGTAATGAATATTTTAATTCCCAGTAGGATTACACGTTGTTTCCTGGAAAGATAAAATATTCCTCTTTTGTCTTATTTTATCAGAGTCACGTAGGTTGTCTAACCTGTGGTTCTAAGTAACGCATGACACGTTTGCTCTTTTAAAAGTGAATTACCTCGTTTAAATGAGTACCGACGACGATCTACGTGATAATAATATCTGACGCCAAGCGTATACATTAAAATATTGGAGATACAGTGCGAAAGAAAATATCCTTTTAAGGATTTCGCTGATGAATGTTTCTTACCCCTGATTTGAATGTAATCTTTTTCTGTATAATCAGAGCGTCTGAATATAATAGCGTTCGGTCCAATGAATATTCATAGCGAAGCGGCGGACATGGGCGTTATCTGCAAGGAAACGCATAAGATCTTTTGTTTCAAGGAAATTATTTGTGTTTTAATTTATTATGTAATTAATGTGAGGCATCGTTGTTTTTTTCTCTGAAGGCTTTGCCCTCGCGTATATATTTCGTGTTTTAATGATTGCTATGCACCTGTCCTTACAATTTTTTACGGTTAATATCACGTATTTTTACATGCAAAATCTTTAGCTTATGTTTTAATTTATTGTATTTAATTTGTTCGTAACGCGGAGAATTGCCCAATGAAATGAAATAATAATATTGCACACGGCTTTACTTAAAAGTATTTTAAATGTTCCACAAATACACTGATAAAAGTCGTAATAGTGGAGTCTGTTTGAAATTACCTGGTTAATATTATGGTGTTTGACGCGCCTATATTCAAACCATCTCCATATCAAATTTCGTTCCTATCGGTCTGTCGTTGCAGCCATTAAAACTTAGTTAAAGCATGACAAACCAGCAGTTTTGTTCTAGTATTTACCTATATAACCTTTAATGTCTGTTTGCTTCAATAAATATTAATTAATGAACAGGAAAATTAATATGATCGTACTATCATAATGCCTACCTTACGAGCATTTACTTGATGTATGTTGGGTACTTTTAGTCGTTTAAATAACATTATTTCCAGAACAAGTGTTAATACCCAATTTTCCGCTTATTAATAATTTGGTTATTAATTGTCCATTATGGTAGTTACTTACGGTGGTCGGTGGTTGTGCAGTGTGCACGTCGAATTGTAGTGACAAAATAATTTTGCAAAAATCTCATTTTAATTAGACCGTCTGCTCTGAATGCGTTGGGCATTCATCGTTGAAGAAAAACAGTTAATCCAAAAAATACCGCAATAAAAAAAGTTCTAAGTGAAGCGACCTGTTTGTTGGTCCTATGATTCATTCACCGGTCTTTGGTTAGTCACATTTTGGTCGCGGTTTGTACGCTCGCTTAGCTTTCTTGTAAATATTTTTAAATCAATATTGAACATGGAAACATAGTGATAACTGCGGTTTAGTGATACGAGTGTTATAGTGATGGGTTTTGGCATAGATAAAATGAAGTTTAACTTTATGAAACGTAGTGGTTCTGACCCTAGTGTGTTTCTCAGGGGAGTTTTTAGGAGGTTCAGGTTTGTATTCTTTAACATGTCCTTTATAATTAACTCGTGATAACTATCCTGTATTTTTACGTGATTATGCATACATAATATTCTCTGCGACAAAAAAGGTAGCTATAGTCAAAAACTTGTGTTTTTTTCTGTGGTTATTCATATTAAAATGATAGGGATCTCTCTAAAGAGAACGCGTTTAAGCGTGTCCGCAAAATAACGTCAACCTTTGGGCAAATATTTAGTATTAGTTTGTCTATTTTTGGGATTCTTATTTTAAAATTAGACTCGGATGCTATAGTTGTATGACTTAAAAATATCAATGGTTGATGAATTACATTAATGTGTAGTCATGAACTTGGTGTTGTTCTGTTTATCGCTTTTAATTATGACGAATGTTGGATCCGGAAAACAAATTCCATAAATTTGCTCACGAGTTATCCATCATTTATCATACCAAATTAATTGTTGAGATTCTCTGCGAAATCCCGAATTTGCTAGTTATCTATTATGGTATCCCTAACAAGTATTAAGTGGATTTTGCATTTATTTTGCCTTTAACTTTGTGGGAAAAAGGCAAGCAATCCTCTAAAGATAATGAGAGACGTAATAAACAAGGTAATTTTGTTGTCAGTCTACAAGGCGTGTCCTATTTCATGTAAAGGAAAAAGCAAATCAAATTCAAATCCTACGCAGTCACCAATTGTGGCTAACTATGTGGCCCATTGGCCTAATATCCTGGCTATTGTATAAAATCTAGTCCTTGTTTAGATCTATTGTCGGACAAAACAGGTGCCATGCTTTTTTACGGCCAGTTACATCTTGTATACAAATGGAACACGTCATTTATTCAAGTAAAACTATGCACTTTAAAGCTTTAGTTATGGCCGTGTTCTATTATAAAGACTAAGACCGTTAAGTCTTTGAAAAATGGCGGTAATGAGCGTTAAATGTGAATTTGCATTCTTTGTTTTTATATAGGTAACTAGTTATAACATTGATGACTGACCTACCTGTCTTAAAGGGCAAATCTCTCCTAACACCGATTTCGACATTCCGGATACATTTTCTCTTAAGTAATCGAAACCTTATTCTAGTTCTTGTGTGCGTTGTAGTGATGAAACAACTTCTCAATATCTTTCTACCCTCATTTTGCAAACACATGAAGATCTTGTAATACTTTCTAATGATTTTTTATTATATTTTTGGCAACTTCAGGAAGAAAATATTAAAAAAAATACAAATCACAATCTTATTTATTAATAACACAATTACAATAAACAACAATTTAAATTTTAATTAAATAACGAATTTTGAAATTACAAACATAGATCAATCTAAACTAAAGACACGCAAAATTAATAGCAGACAAGACAGTTTAACCCTTCAAACGAGCAGAGGTTCCCTTGTACCATGTGTACTCAACGCAGAAAGAGGACTCCACTGAGCGCGCAGGCCCTTTTATAGGCAACCGTAGCTTCTCCCACCAACATCCCCTCCGATGACAGCCAAGACGTCACTCTTCCGCCAATACGGCCTCTCCTGACTGGAGGACGTCCCCGTTCTCCTGCGGCTGGGGCTGCAGGGCTTCTGCAGCTCTGGATGTGCTAGGCATCGGTTCAGGCGAAGTATCGATGGTGGGTTGCGTATCGACATTGGCAGCTTGCTCAGGCGTAGACTCCGCATTATCATCATTGCTATCTGCGCCTGAACATACAAGGAAAAAAAAACATTAGTTATGAAACTGATTTTCATCATAAAATTCACATACACAATTTACAGTGAACCATAGGCACTACGTTAGCTTAGTTCACAAAACCAACAAAGAGGAAGCACGACGTTAGCTATCTTTGTTAACGAGAAACATAGGCACGACGTTAGCTTGTTTCTCAAATTTGAAAATGAACACATGACATAGGCACGACGTTAGCTTATCATGGTTCACACTAAAATAACATGACATAGGCACGACGTTAGCGTATCATGAAAAGAATACAAACGTATGACATAGGCACGACGTTAGCATATCATACGTCTTACCATCAAAGTATGCAGCGCATGTCTCTGGAGTCCACTCCCCGCGCCACGGCTTCATAAACTGGGCCGCAGCTTGCGTCGATTTGCCATAGGAACCTGCCAGTAGTTGCAGCTCGTATCGACCATGGGGAAGCGCTTTGACCACGCGATAGGGTCCGCGCATGCCGGAGTCAAGCTTGCCAGTCGATTGCGCCTGCTTAATAACAAAAACAAGTGAGTTACATTCAAATGATCGGGGGGATTTTCGACCAGCGTTCACAGTCTCGTCTTGTTGACGTTGGTTCCGAGCTAAACGCTCCGAAGCTCGTTGTCTGTGCATTTCTCTATGCGCTTCACGATTTGGATGCGAACTATCCAAGGCCACGTCGCGCACCAGGTGACGTATGAGGGGCGTAGCAGCTTCA